ATCTATAAAATAAAACGCCAACCTTAAGCATGTAGCTTTAACTCCTGAAGACCGTTATTTTTTGTTCGTTCCTTTTTGGCTTTATGACCTCCTACTGAGATTATAGAAATATAGATTTATCAATAGTTTTATAAATAGTTCTTATGAAACTCCTCAACTCCTGTAGATTATTAAAAAAATTAAATTGTTACTTGGAAAGTAAAATGCGAAAAATATTTTCGTATTAAATACTCAATAAGAATTGATGGATACAATGACTTAAAAATCAAACTGAAATTGCAGACAAATGTAAAATCTGTGCCTACTATCAATTTATTAAATAAGTGGTAATACATATAGACATTTAAAATTATTTTTATGTACCTAAACCGCTCATTAAATAAATCAGGTACCAACTGAAAAATATTTGACATTGCACGAAGGAAAAACAGTTATGAATGGACATTTTCAAAATTCATCAATTTTCTATCAATTGTAAGTTTTAAAAACCACCCTGTATAACACTAATACGCATCTATTGAAATCAAAAGCCCACACCCCACAAAATTTCTTTAAAATGTTCAACCAAACGATGAGATTTCGGATATGAGTGAATTTGCCTAAATCGACCTATTTTTAGTCCAAAAATCTGCACTCTTCCGTTGTACACGTATTTACGGGACACCCTGTATAAACTGAAGTATTTTGCTCCATTTCTTGTTAAAAACATGGAACTTGATGGTTACTTCGCAGTTAAATAGTCATTTCTTTATCCGGGAAATGAAACACGGGCAAATTAGGCTCCAAGCCTAACTTTAATAAAATTTTATCTAATCATCCTAATCCTTCAGAACCAATGCCTAGTGTATATGTTAAATAGGTAAGTCCGACACGAATTAACGGATATTTAGATATTCCTATTTAGCCACGTTATATATAAAGCACCATTTGTGGTGCAGATAAATAAACAACCATCAGACTGAAAAAGTTGTCGAGACTTTAATGTTTATATCATGGAAGAGGAAATATCAAATGAAAAATTAACACTATTTCCTGCATCTACTCATAATATAGAACAAACTATAATGCGAAAATTCTTAATATTATCTAATAGAACAAAAATTAAATGTAAAAATAATTATGATTATCCTGTTTTGTTTGTTTATGAAAATGAAGTTAACTTCACTATAATAAAAGTCGTTTACCGTTTATAATGTAGTAGTTTGACAACAATGTACTTGCATTTAATTATATAGGAAATATGTATTTCCGTTTCAACTTAGGAAAATTTATGATTTGCCGTTTATTTAATTTGTGCAATATTATCTATGCAGTATGCTTTTCCAAAATCATATCTACTAATGTAAGACAAATACAGGGTATTTTAAATTTTAGAATAGCGTCCGGTAAGTTCTATGAAGAGGAAATCATTTTTTTGCAATATTTCTCAATCGCGTTGTGATAAATGAATGAAATTTGGTATACCCAGCTAAATTTTGATGAGCAATTTGATGGACTAATCCATTTATTTCCATAAGGTCCATTGGGGTGGGTACGGGGGGGCCCTTGGTACTTTGCGTGTGTAACTTTTTCATCTTTGACTTTTTAATAAATTGGACAGCTAATTCCGTTTTCCCGAACTGTTTAAAAAGGTACTCTGGTTTCAAATCGTTATCTTCAACGGTTTCTGAGAAAATCGCTCTTGAATTAATCCCACTTTGGTCAATTTCATAGTAATTTAAACAAAAAAAATAATAATAATTTAATACGTAATCAGTAATACACATTATTGATGTAGAACAATTATGATATGATGATTTGTTTATGGCTTTTGCGATGGTAATGCTGCGCGGCAGAACGCGAGTAGGTACGGCAGAAGGTTTCCAAACAGAAGGCTGACATCAAGGAGGACATTCCTCACTGTATTCCGCAATGTAGCTGCAACCGTCACTTTTCGAAGGGATCATAAGATGGAAACTTAATTTTGATAACAAACAACAAGCTATTTTAAAAACTGTTCAAAAAACCCTCCACCTTCACTGATACAAAGTCTTGCCCTACGTGTAACACTTCTCGAAGCTATTAAGATGCTAAAACGGTTTTGACGAATTTCATTGGCTGCATCATTGATACGCTGCAGCAATTCCTCACGGGTATCGACTTCGGTGGCGTAAACTTTTTGATTTAGATATCCCCAGAAAAAAAAGTCCAGCGGGGTTAGGTCGGGAGAACGCGGCGGCCAAGCTACCGATCCGTGCCTCCCTATCCACCGTCCAGCGAAATTTTCGTTTAGGAAATTTAGAACATTGCAACCACTATGTGCCGGGGCTCCATCGTGTTGAAAAAACATGTTACGTCGTAAATTTAGAGGCAGATCATCGAGAATTTGGGGAAAATTTTCTTGAAGTAAGTTTAAATAAAGATTTTAATTAAGACGTTGTGGAATTTCAATAGGTCCAATCAGAGTGTCGTAAATTATTCCCGCCCATAAATTTATGGAAAACCGTTGCTGGAAGTTTGTTCTCCGAACAACATGTGGGTTCTCTTCTTCCCAATAATGAGAATTATGAAAATTTAATTTTCCATTTCGGGTAAAAGTAGCTTCGTCACACCACAAAATTGGAAGCTTGCTCGTTCTCCAGCGACAAAATTGCATACGTGGCGCAAAATCTTCTGGTATCAAGCCGTGTACACGTCGATAGTGATAGGCATGTAGACAGACCTTGTCGCTTTAATATTCTTCCAACCTGAAATGTTAGTAGCACATGTAATCAATTCTGTTAAGGAAATCTTTAAGATATGTAGTACCGTTGGCCGAGGAACATTTATTTGCCTTGAAATGTTCCGTATGCTAGTCGTAGGATCTTGTTCAATAGCGTCAAGGACCTCCGGTTCCCTATTAATCCTGGGACGTCCTTGACCCGGTGCCTTTCGAAAAGTGGCGGTTGCAGCTAAGTTGCGGAATACCGTAGGGAATGTCCTCCTTGATGGCAGCCTTCGATTTGGAAACCTTCTCCCGTACTCGCGTTCTGCCGCTGCAGCATTACAATCGCAAAAGCCATAAATAAATATCATATCAACTAACTCTTGTCCCGTAAACTCTTCCATTTTTTTCGCTTAGAACTATTAAATTGGCAATCGGGTTGACAATACTTTGACATAAGAATACCTTGATAATTTTGTTTAAATTACTATGAAATTGACCAAAGTGGGATTAATTCAAGAGCGATTTTCTCAGAAACCATTAAAGATAACGATTTGAAACAAGAGTACCTTTTTAACGTAAAACAGTTCGGGAAAACGGAATTTGCTGTCCAATTTGTTACGCGATTGAGAGATATTGCAAAAAAATGATTTCCATTCCTCCCTCTTCAATGGGTCCCTGTGCCCTTAGGAAGCATTTCCGGACCCATGTTTATATGAACTTTTTTACTTAGTTTTGATCATAGAATCGGCCAGTTCAGGGTTGGCAGCTAATTATGAGACACCCTGTATAATAGAAAGAATTGCTAATATCTCGATTATCTTTATTATCTTTCTCGATAGGTCCTAAATAACATGATTTTTAAAATAGTTATACCTACAGGGCAATTATGCTACAATGCTTACAGAACAGAAGTTTGGCAAATTAATTTTAAAAAATTGTCAATTAACAATAAATCAAAACATATTACTACGGATATTCAAAAAGATCACTATTCTCAGGGGTTCATAAATAAAATTTAAGAAAACGTTATCGTTTCTATTGGCTTTGGATAAACTTCATGTTCCATAAAAACTTTAATGATTTATTCTCTAGTATTTTCTCCAGTATTTTAGTCCAATCAATCTGTCACGGTCTTATGTTAAATTTACAGAAAATACCACCTGGAAACAAAAAATATGGTGATATAGGAAAAAAATCTAAGAAAGATAGTGTATTTTTCCTGTGGTGCATAAACGACGAAGTTAACCTAAAAAATTCATAAATGTCAAAAACACGGTTTATCACTAATAAAAAAAACTTGAACTCCAATCGAAAAAAGTTAAATGAGAAAGTTGTAGCCATTAAAAAACTTATCGATTCTTATTCGTAAATATATCGATTGCTATATTTCTTTTCGAGGTATATCTAAAAAACCTTCAAAAATCAACTTTTTTTTTGCTGTATCACTTGCAAGTTAAGGTTTTGAAACTTGTTACTTGCTGTAAATGTAGCCCTCGGCAAGCAAGAAAGTACCTTTTTTAAAAATTAAAAAACACTAAAAATTTTTATATCGTTATATCGTTTTTCGAAAAAAGGGTCATCTCGAAAATCGGCTCTTCTTGCTCGACGAATAGTCATAGAGAAACGAATCAGGGCTCATTTTTTTCCTTTACAGTTGTACTTTCATGGTAAAAAAGGGTGATAACGATTTTATTCATTTCAAGTGTCCAAAGATGACTGAAAAAGTAAATTTTTTTGCTGGCGTTTTTCTTGAATATCTTCTTCGATTTTCATTTCTCGATAATGTCTATTACAGGAATCGATTGCTGGCTAGTATTTTCTACAGTATTTTATTCGTTTCTGTTCATGTAATTTACTTAGAATTCCGACTTGAGAACATTTTTTTGTGTAGAATTAATGGGGACATAAGAAAATCGTTCTAAAAGCCTCACATTTGTAACTTCAAAAAATTGTGACCTAGAATATTTTTGGTTGGAGTTAAATAAACACCTTAGGGTCCTTAGGAGTAGGACCTCTCAAAACATAGACGTACCAGATTATAATATGTCTATTACTTTTGATGAAAAGGACCTGCTTTACAATAAAAAGTAATGGGGTCATAATTTACAGGATAATCTTATTCTTCATATTCTATTACCTCAAGGAGCACGTTATTCTGATACACGCTGTATAAAAATTCTGTTCGAATAAACTCTCGATTAATAAAAATTTATTATGAGATTTACGTACAGGAACATCTAAAAAATACAAAAAAGAGATTATGATTTCTTTCTATGTTCGGTGATTTAATTTAATAATGAATTTTTCTTTTCAGAATACGAGCTGTATAGCGAACGTATGCGAGTATAGACGCACAAAAGTGTCAGCTTTTAGTGGTAAAACTCGACAAGCAGATGGTAAGTAAACTACTATTATAGCTTTGTTTCTAGTTCACCAGAAATACTTTCCAAAGAAATGTGACTTACTTCAAAAGTGGCTGCTTTGAATCAAAATAAACATTTATGCTAAATTCATCTGAAACCTGAGGGTAGGATGCGCAGTGGCTAAGTGTTGGAGTGAGGAACGGTGCTCATAGAGCTTTACTATGAGTTACCTGCTGCCTGAATTTCTATTTCATTCTACATCAAGTTTTCTCTTTTTATTTGGCCGTTTCAGTGCTCAAGTGAAATTAGTCCAGTTTTAATTTTGAATAATAAGTAATAATTTTTAACGTAAATAAAGTGCTGTTTCAAATAAAAACATATGCATGTTCTCAAAATATCTATCAGCAAATGAAAAATATGGAAATAAAACGGAAGACCTCATATTTATTTTCATTAAAAAGTAGTTATAAAAATGAAAGAGAAAAGTTTTGGAAGGCAGATATATTTTTAACGAAGCAAAATAGTTTTAAACTAACTTGATTTATTGGTTTGTTTTGAATTTGACATAAAACAGTTATAGTACAGTCATTGAAGGTGAAAATCAGCTGTAACCTCCGAATTCTTTGAAACTGCATGGATTTGCATGAAAATTTAGTATAAGGCTCACCTTAGGCTCAAGTTCAAAAGTGACATAAGCCCGATTGACGCATTTTGTTTTTTAGGGGTAAAAACTACCACTAAGTGAAAAAAATTGAAAAAATTAAGATTTAAGCATTTTATTGAGAAAAATCTTGTTCACGCACAAAGATTAAATAATGTTCCATGTTCTCGAACATGTTTTATGATATATTGGATCTTTTCGACCCTTTATTTAACCCTTAAAAACTACCCCTATGCAAAAAATGATAAAAAATTACTTTTTAAAGATTTGGAATGATTAAATCGTGCAATTATTTAAAATAAAAGTCACCTTATAGCTAATAAAAGAATTTTTCCCTTTCAACCCCTAAAAATATTATTGACAAAAATGATACAAAATTGCTTTTTAAAAGCTTGAAATGCTTTAACGGTGCAATTATTTAAAATAAAAATTCCCTTATTGCTTATGATAGAATTTGTATCTCATAACAATTTTCAACCCTTATAAATCTTATAAATATAATTGTGCAATAATTTAAAATAAAAATTCCCTTTTATTGTTTATGAAAGAATATTTTACTTGTGCCATTTTCAACTCTTATAAACTACCCTTTTACCAATATTAATGTAAAATATTTTTATTATAATCGATTTTTAAATATAATCAATCATAAAAAAAATTGCTACGCTGCATATAAATAATCACACTAAATTTTGTTACTTATTTTATTTGTATAATATAATAAACATATAATATATGAAAATGAGAAATCCTATTTTGCTCCGAAAAAATGTCATTGGTTTTTTTACCATAACTCGGTTAATTTTGAAGCTATAGTATCCTACAAAAAAGCATTTTAAAGATAATTTCAAGATTTGTAAGATCGTTTGCACATAAAGCCTTTTAAGTCCTTTGTTTTTTTAAAAGGAAAGGATCGAAAGGCTCGACACAGGTCGTTTTTTTACTAAAATGGATACTTCAAGCGGCGATATCTCCTTTATTTTTTATGCTGTAGGAATAAAAAAAGCAGAATATTTGTTGAAAAAAGCTACATTTTTGTTGTCTGTCATTTTTTACGTATCTTTCATAGTTTCAGAATTATTATATAAATAAGGCAATTTTTATTGAATTCAACTTTTACCGTACATTATTCAAAAATACGCATTCTAAACCGGTCTAACTTCAGGATCGTATGAAAAACACTAAAACAAAACTAATTGCAAAGGGTCTACGATTAATTTTAATTCTTCTGGAAATGGTACAGCTCATTTTCCTTAAAAAATATGAGCAACCCTACTGTTTTTGACGATAACTCCTTCAATTTTGCTCTAATTAACTTTTATAAGTGCTCATTTTGAAGGTCTTTTTGAGTGCTACAAAAAAACTCTAGGAGCGTTATACACGTAAATTTAATCATTTTTCCGTTACTTGACGTTGAATACATCGATTCGAGTATTCCCCCCAAAACAAGTCCCCTTCAACTAACCATATTTCGCTTTGTATAGGACAACACTTTTTAAATAACGATTTTCTTTGTTTATTTATAAGCTACATTTTTGTTCATTACTCTTTTTTTTTTATAAAATACGTAGTTTTTGAGTTATTCGCGAAAAATACTTTGAGTGTTTTTTTTTTCACTCAAAATTACAAGTTTTCAATCGTGAATAACTAAAAAACTATTGATTTCTCGAAAAAATTCTCCGAATATTTTTTTGCTCAAAATTTGATTCTCTATCGATTTCCAGCGTTATTTTTGAAAAAAAAATCCACCCCCGAGAAGGTGTGTCAACCCCCAACAGAGTGGAAGCGTCAATCGGCGCTATGTCACTAATGTTCATTGACCTTTTCTCTAACTATCTGCCAAATTTCACGTCGATCGGTACAGTTTCAAAGAATTTGGAGGTGAAAAGCTTCAATGACTGTACTGTTACTTTTCCTCTATTATTCATTACTATCGTACCTACTATTTCCACATTTTATTGAGATTGTTTTGTTTGTATTAACATTTATGAATTGTACTCGCAGGGAGACTACCTCAAGAAACAACAGTAATAAAATTTGGAAAAGTAAGATATATCTATAGTAGCTATTTTTTGTCAAGGGGAATGTCAGAATAACCGACATACTAGATATTTATTTGAAAAATTACATTATTTAACAATTTCTCTATGTCAAATACCTATGCGTTTTTATATTAGCAATACTTGGGAGTATCATTTTTGATTTTTATTTTGGATAATTATTACTAGCTATTGCTAGCTGACAGCGGCTCATGGAGTAGTTTTTATTTAATTTAATTTAATTTAATACCTTTATAATAGAGAAAAAAAAAATGAGGATTAATAATAAAATATATAGGTACTTTAAAAATCCAAAGCAGACACTCTTGAAATTTGTAACATTTTTTACTGAACACCCTGTATAGTGGCATATTAGCATTACATGTACAGCACAAGAATAAGTATTCACGTTTCTTCATAGTATAGATATAAATATTTGCATGTATTTTGTTCTAAATAAAATATATTAAATCACAATTTTTTACAATTCTTACTACTACAATAATTCTACTTATTTACAGATGATGTACTGCCGCCACCTGAGATGCACTGTCAAAATGAGGGACTCATGGTTTTCGTATGGCATGCCAAAAATGACACATCCTACTTCTTGGAGTATTCTATCTCCGAAACAGACAGAAATTTTACTGAGGTGGTTAGTAGTACATTTAACTTCCGTTGCTGAGGGCACATTACATAAAAAATAATATACATAGTCAACATATTTTTGTGTAATAATCCATGACAGACGCAATAGCAGGGCACATACACTGAGTTGTGTCCTGATGCCTGTATTGGTACCGATTAATCACTTTACTAAATAAAAGAAAGATAAATCTGTGATCTTTTTATATTTACTTAATCATGGTTTTCGAAATATGTTCATTCTTCTTTCACTTAAAAATTAAATGAATAAAATGAATTATTCTTTTCAGACGACTGAAGGCTTTCAAATCCTAGAGGACCTGCAACCCGATACAAATTACGTGATTCAGCTTACTAGCGTCGTAACGGATAATTTTGTCGTGCATTTACGACGCAGTCCTATAGTTTCAATCAGGACCTTAAGACAAGGAAGAACTCCATTACCTGTAAAGAAGGTTTATTTGGACTCTTTCAAATTAATTGATGACACATATACGGCATTAGTGAAATGGGAGCAAGGGGCAGGTAATACGCTTTTTATTAGGTCTTACCAATGCAATCATTTTGGAATATGTTTCTTCAACGCGTCTCGGAAATTTTGAAATTTTAATTGGAAATACATTTTGATTATAGTATATGTGGCATACATGGTTATTAATAAAATACCTACTGAAGCAAATTGCAAAATTGACAAAATCTAGATATAGTTACACGTCTTCTTAAAATTAGTTTTTCCTATTTAATTGATGTTATTAAAATAATATATTTATATATTTTACTTTAAATCTTAAACTGAGCTTAGCTAAATTATACCGATGGAAATAATTCATTTAGAGGAAAAAAAGAAAATTGTTACCTGGACTTTTATAAGTGGAAATGGTAATAAACAAAAAAAAATAAATGCGTGAGCATGGGTGGCGGAGGGTTGATTTGGGGGGTTGAAAATTTGTGAAAAATTGTATAATTGAGATTTTTGGCGAAAGTTGACGTCAAACAAAAAAGTATCCAATACAAAAGTTGTAGATCATGCAAAAATCTACAAGTAGAGGTCACTGTTTAAGATAACCTCGAAAAATGCGGAAAACGTTTTTTCATATTTTTCGTGTTTTATTTCTCATTTCCGCAAAAATAATTTAATTTTGACGAAACTTAGTGAAATTATATTATATCTTTCTGTGTCTTGAATAACCACAAATTTTTTTATATAAAAAAAGTTTCCGAGATATTCATTTTTTTCCGTCTGAAACACTTTTTTTTAAAGAAAAATTCTACTTAGGAAAATCATCGTACAGAGTTTTGCCGGTGATCATTTTTTTCGTTTTGACATACCTACTTTTTTTGGTGAAATAAAAGAATCTGTAATCACAGTTCAAAAACATGCTCAAAAATGCAAAAAATAAAAAATGACTTGCAACGATGAATTTTTCAGTAATTGTTGATAATTGTTTAAAAAAAATTCAAAAACTGATTACACCATTCAATGGTACGAAAAAATATAAAAAAACTGTCTCATTGTTTGACCCAAAACTTTATTGTTGTACAGTATTGCTATGAACATAAGTCGAATAAATAAAATAAATAATAATTTTTTTCCGTAGGACCGATTAGTGTACTTATTTTTTTTAAATTTTGATGAATTCAGATATACAGTGTTACCAAGATAAGGATGGGATAGCATTAGGATATAGAAAACGGTAAGAGATACAGGGTGGCTCAGATTAGGGAAAAAGGTGTTTTTTTATACCTAACAATATGCCGTTTAGAAAGTGTTAAAATTCCGTGTAGTCCCGGAGATATCCGGAAAAATCCGAAATTTTGCAAAATTATTTAATTTTTTTTCTGGCTTTATTTGAAAACGAATTTTAAAATAAATTGCATATTTACAATGCCACTTTTTTCGCTCTATACAATGGCGTCAATATTTTTGCAATCCGACGTTTCATCTTCGAAGAGCCATCATCAGGTTAGTTTTTTAAAATATGTCGCTGCTATTTTTATGACCAAATTTTTAGCTTGTTTTAGCTATCATTTAAAATTTTTCCAGAGTACGGCTCTAAACGCTTTCAAAATATCTATTGGATGAAGTCATAACAGTATAAAAGTCAATAAAAAAATTGTTGGATATTTTGTGCTGTTTCGACTTTTATAGTTATGACTTCCTCCAATAAATATTTTGAAAGCGTTCCCAGCCGTACTCAGGAAAAATTTTAAATAATAGGTAAAAACCTTTTTAAGCGATTGCAATAGTAATATCATCTAATTCAGAATTAAAAATCGATTTTTGTCATAAAAATAGCAGCGACGTATTTAAAAAATTTAACCTGATGATGGCCCCTCGAAGACGAAACATCGGATTGCAAAAATGTTGTTGGATAGAGCGAAAAAGGAGGCATTGTAAATATGCAATTTATTTTAAAATTCGTTTTCAAATAAAGCCAGAAAAAAAAATGAAAGGATTTTGAAAAATTTCGGGGTTTCGGGTTTCGTGTCAACAGTAGACTTTGCAGCTAATACTTTGTATTGCTGAAATCTCAAATCAATTACTGAACAATTTATTGTTGCGTCATTTTTTTTGCATTTTTGAACATGTTTTTAAACTTGATTAAAAAGTATATGTCGAAACGAAAAAAATGATCACCGGTAGAACTCTGTACGATGATTTTCCTAAGTAGAATTTTTCTTTGAAAATAAGTGTTTCAGACCGGAAAAAATGAATATCTCGGAAACTTCTTGATTTTTTTATTTAAATTTGTGGTTATTTAAGACACAGAAAGGTATACATTCACCAAGTTTCGTCAAAATTAAGTTATTTTTGAGGAAATAAGAAGTAAAAAATGAAAAATCAGAAAAAAAACGTTTTTCGTATTTTCTCGGTTATCTACAAAAGTTGTAGATTTTTGCATGATCTACAACTTTTGTAATGGATACTTTTTTGTTTGATGTCAACTTTCGCCAGAAATCCCAATGATACAATTTTTCACAACTTTTCAACCCCCCAGATCAATCCTCCGCCACCCCTGCTTACGCATTTTATTTTTTTAGGTTAATTATAAGCCCTTTTACCATTACCACTTATAAAAGTCCAGGTAACAATTTTTTTTTTCTCCAAGAGTAATCTGGTTGGACTAAATGTAAAAATGATAATTCATTACAAATAATTCATAAGAAGTTTGTTAAAATAATGCACATTACTTTTCACAAAATCTTTAATATAATGAGGAAGATTATCGAATGTGGTTGATTAGATGAATTTTTCAGGTTTCCTCAATTATTCACTAGTGGTTATAATCTTTACCAACATAGGTTGATCCTATACGAAAAAAACATTGTCATGAAAAGTGTCAGAAATTGTTATAAATCTGGATAAGTGGGAAGGAATAAAATGACAAGGTTATGAAGTGAAACCTTTAGATCCAGATATCCAAAAAACGGTTGTTCAAAACGACATTTACCAAGTATACGTTTTTCTTAGAAAAAATATCAGAGAATAAGAATTTTTGATTAAAAATTCAATTATTTATAGCAAATTCTAGAACATATTTATATTTCTCATGCTAGAAAACCCAAGTTTTACGTATTTACTCCAATTAATGATAAAGTTATTGAAGACTTCAACACTCTGTATCTGACATGACCGTCCTCGAATATTGCCACTGGCGCATCCACCAAATTATAGAAATGAGGATAATTCTTTTTTCTAAACTCCTCATTTTAGAATATTTCCGGCCTTATTTACTTCAGAAAAATTAAGTGATGTCCCAACCACTTTGTAACACCCTGTATCAGTCAATCAATTTAATGATTCATATTTATTAACACATTATCTTTTACAGACAGAGCTTGCTTTTATTATATCATGTGGTACGGGGGTGACGAATTAGGAGATGTTAAACAAAGAGATATTGAAGATGTAAGTAAATTTTTTTCTTTCACATATTTGTTCAGTAACTATTATATAACTATAATAACTTTTATTGTAGCCACTAGCTGCACCTAAGATAAATATAACTGATTTACAATTTGGAAACAATTATTCGTTATCGATAAGAGCAGTCAGGGAAGACTATAATGTTCGTAGTGAAAGTTTGGAGAAATGGCTTATTATTGAAGTTCCTACTTGTTTACAGACTTTTCACAGCCTATCAAATTGTGGTAGGTATTTGAATATTTATTATTAATTCCATTTAGTAATTTTTCTCTATAATCTTCCAATTTTAGTTCCAGAGATTCCAGAAAATTTCGAAGTGGAAGAAGTTATTCACGTTCGAAATCATGTAGGCTTTCCACGTTATGACGTCAAAATGTCTTGGAGCGAACCAAGTTATAAACCAGATTATTACACAGCTGTCATATTTAACACCATCAACAATGGCAGCTTAAAAATAAATATTACAGGAGTAAGTAATTATAACGATTGCAAGCAATAACATATAAATGAAAATATTATTCTTTATCCTGATATAAAAAATTATTTTGCAGTTTCTGTATTTTTCTTCTTTTTTTTTTAAATATATTAAAATAGAAAAAAGGATTCTTTTAAGAATTGTACGAAATTTGTACTAAAGCAGATAACTTGATTTGCTTAACTGTCGAAAGAGCTCTCTTTGAAGTATGGCCCAATCGTTTTTGGACATCCTGTACAGGCTATAAAATGAAAACTTTATAGTAATTTATTTTTAGAATGAAACAAGTGCCGAATTCACCAACATAGAATTGGACACGTATTATCAAGTTTCATTAGCAGCCCATTCTGTAAAAGGATCAAGTCCCGAAGCAACTATTTACAGGTTTGTGAACAGTACCGCAGTCCTACTTACGAGTGAATCATGGATGAGCACCGAAATTATTCTGCTCATTGTAAGCCCCTTTGTTATTATCGGCCTTATTTTACTGCTACTTTTCAACCATTTCTTGGTGAAGAAGCAGCAAAGGAATTATTTTAAGGTATTTTGAAAAATCATTATTAATGGATAAATTATTAAACATATACTTTAATGTGTCCAGGAAATAGAAGAAAAAAATGTACCAACGGTGAACTACATCCAGACCCGGACAAATACCTTGGAACAAGCAGATGAATGGGAACTTTTATCTGAGAAAATACTAACCAAAGAGGTACTTGGAGAAGGAGCATTTGGAATTGTTAGAAAGGGAGAATACTATGCGGAAAATGGAAATAGTATAGAAGTCGCAATTAAAATGTTGAAAGGTAAATGTAAATATTGAGTGTATATTGAACTTAAATAACATTACTCCAATATATGTTTCAGATAATCCTTCCCAGGAAGAGTTGAGACAGTTTTGTCAAGAAATAGATATAATGAAATCGGTACCATCTCATCCCCATCTGGTTTCTTTAATAGGATGTATTACTCAAGGCACAAACCAAGGACCACTTCTCGTTGTGGAATATTGCTCCAAGGGTGACTTACAAACCTACTTGAGAAGTGCTTGGAATAAGCTGACGAACGGGTATGTCTTATTTACATTACATTACATTACCAAGATTTATATTATCAGTAAAGTTGTTCATAATAAATAATTACTTTAGTATTTAAAAAAAACTACATGGAAAATGAAAATCCACACAATTGTAGCACAAACAGGTTTGGTGATTGACAACTTATAGCAGAATCTATTTGTGCTAGAATTAGGTACCGAGTAGATTTTCATGACAATTTTTTTTCCTAGTAATTTTTTAATAGTCATTTTATTACTATTATTGATATGTTTTAGGATTAACAAGGACAAAATTAATTTACCAAATTTACTTGAATATACAAAGTGTGCTTCAAATAAATTATATGATCTAAATGTAGAACAATACATGGACATTCCACAACCAAAGGATCTTGTTTCTTATGCACGACAAATAGCACTGGGAATGGTAAGTGGAAGAAGAAAGATGAAAATTAATTTCGTTAATATTTACTCTGCGGAGAATTTACTAATTACTAAACTTCCCAAGACTTAAGCTATTAAAATTTTATTTCAACACATGTCTTGTTCCATAATTTTTTAAATTGCATATTAATTTCTATTTGTAGGAATATTTATCATCTTTAAAACTGATACACCGAGATCTGGCAGCTAGGAACGTCTTAATTTGTAAAGACAACACAGTGAAAATTTCAGACTTCGGTTTAAGTAGGGACGTATATCATAACAAAATCTACTGTAAAACTACTGGTGGTAAACTACCTCTCCGTTGGATGGCACTGGAATCAATGACCCATCAAGTGTATACTACGCGAAGTGACGTTTGGTCTTTTGGTATTCTCTTATGGGAAATAATAACATTAGGAAGTACACCTTACCCTGGAATATCTACTGGAGATTTATTACCTCTCCTGAAAAGTGGTTATCGTATGGAAAAGCCTTCCAACTGCAGTAATGAATTGTTAGTATATATTTTTTTTCTTAGGTACCTATATAGGTACCTACATCGAAACATAAATATTTTTATTTTTTGAATAAGTGGTAACTACCATATATTTTTCTAAATTAGATTTTCTATATTTTCAGATACACGATTATGTGCAAGTGCTGGAAAGCAGCACCAAGGGAAAGACCAACATTTTCTGAACTTCGAAAAACACTAGATGAGTTACTAGAAAGTGTTTCAAACTATTTAAATTTAAACACGAGTGAATCTGGTGATATTTACATAAGTAGGAAAAATAAAATGAACAAATATAAAAATGTTAACTTTTCTGAAGGATATGTAATACAAATGAAGGGTGTGTAGTAATATAAATTTTATTAAGTGCTTACTTATTAAATATAATTTAGCTTAGGATAAATTTAAAATAAGTATATTTTTATACTGTACTGTACTTGAAAAAATACCTATAGACATTGTAAAACTCCAAAATAGTACAATTTTTAAAATATATAATACAGATTATTTTAGATGTAAGATATTATTGTGCAGTATTGCAATAAATAAATTTTAATTTGTAAACAAGCTTATGTACTGATTGAAAATAGAGAAATTATTTCTTTGCACTTACATCAAATATAGTTACCTACTTATTTGTTTTAAATAAAATTTAAAACTTCGCGCTAATACAGGATAATGCAGCATTAAATATGTTTATATTGGAATCATGAAAGACGGAAAACAGATAATAATAAACTTATATCTATAATCTAAACAAACGTCGCCATATTCTAAAGAAGCAGATATTGGTGACGACAGACGAGTAAACAAAAATTTATCAGCAACCTATGGCAGTACTGATTTGTATTTAGGTCCTATGCACACTTATAAATATAGGCTATATCTATTGCCTCTACTACTCACAACTCTAGAATTTTCTTGGCTTATGTATCGAGTATCGACATCTTTACTTTGGAAATAATACAATAAATTATTTTTCTGTAGCTCATTTGAAGATATTAGATGATTATAAACATAATTGCAGGTGCCTTATAATGTAATTAGATTTTTTAGAAGAAGAAGACGAATAGACAACATGTCATTTTTGACATTACAGTCGAATGGTCAACAGCTGACACCCCTAAAAATGTTTTGTATAAAAGAGAAGTAGTACTCTTCCTTGGTTTATTTAGTTTTTTCTTGACAGGTAAATATTTAAACTGTAACTAAAATACATCATATATAGCTATTGTGTAACAGGAGTGTAGTGTCATTTTCTAATGGGTTTTATTTTTGTTTATACCTCGTTAGTGCTGTAAAATGATGCCAATAAAAGATAATCAAGATGTGGCTTGTTTTTTCTGCACAAAACACACCACGTGGAAGGGAAAGTATGTATAATAAATTATGATCAAACTTGTAATTAATGAAACACCAATTTTGTAGATATAAAAGAATATTTTCCGTTGGAACTATGGGCATTACAACCTACAATCCATCCAACTTAGAAGTAACAAATAGATGGGCATACAATGATTTTATATCAGTTCAGCCAATTAAAGGAGGAGTCCCTTATGAGTTTCAAATTACAATGAAAAAAGAGAGGAAAGTAGATAAAATGACATTCTCTACTGAACACAGAACACATCTTTTGACGGAAGCCTTGAAATTTAGGAATTTTTTTCTAGAAAGACCTAAAGAAGTCCTGGTGAGTTAATCTTTTTAAATGAGTACTTCAAAAGAAACAAACTGAAATATATAAAATTTTTGAAATAACATCGAATTGTACTAAGTATTTAAAATTGTTTTGTTAGGAAAATATTTACATTAGCATAACTAGCAAGAAAAAAACATTGTCTTACCTCTTACCAAAGTAAACCTAATATAATTTTGATTATCTCAGCCTTTTTACTGTGGTTTCATATTTATCTCCTTCAATTTTGCTTACTCTGCAATGGTTTAACAGAAGTTAAGTTTTTAATAAGGTTTAAAATATTGCTTCATAATAACAACATTTAATTCTTAATAACTTACAATTTACTATTTTTCAAATAGCCACACAATTTTTTTTAACAGATTTTTTCAAATGCTAATTATTTTTTGTATTTAATGCCATTAAACTCCAATTAAAGTTTTGTAACATACCATAACATCTATTTTGATTTGTTACTTACAAATGTATTATTTATAATTACAAAGAACAAATACAAATACATATTAATTCTGATAATACATATAATATGTTTTAAAAAGTCCACATTTTCAAATAGTAAAATAATATCTGTATATTAAATATATTTTACGACGTGAGAATAATAAAAAATATTAGGTAATAAAAATATATACTGCAAAATGTCCATATTTTTATCACAAAATTTATTTAGTTACGTGTATAACCTAAAGTGTAACTAAAATGTTATTCACATTACAGGATATTTATGTATGTATGTTCATTAGTGAACGTCTGCTGCTTTAATTATTGTCTAGATAACGTGAATTAGTTTTTTTTTATAAATCTAGTAGTGTTCTTCTGCAATAATCATGTTGTTTTGTTTTGTACTGTTTTCTGTTCCAAAAATAAAAAGTTCATTGAATTTAGGATTACTCGAAATGAGTATGAATGAGTAATATTAAGCTTTTTTATTAAAAGATCACGTTATTTACTTAATTTATACATAATTATTATACAATATCTCCCCGGTTTGAATTCTAACTCTGAAAATAGTATTAGATTAATTATCTGATAGTATGAAGATAAAAATATTAACATAATAAAACAATATATATCTAATTGATTTGAAGTTATAGAAATTTAAATTGAAAAATAACTGAGAATAACTGTTATGTCACTTTTAGTAATAATTATCTATACGTGATGTGACATGTTTAAAAAAATAATAAAATGAAATTGCAAACAAACTTATTCACTTATAAAAAAAATTAAAAAAAACAAACTGAAAATATATAATATATGTATATTTGAAAGAAATCGCTTCGGTAGTTTTGTTATGACAAAAATTTTTAAAATAATTTAATATCATATATATCGAAAACGAAGAGTTTTTGATTGAATGTTTATAGGAACTATTTGTTGATTTGTTACATAAGATCTACATTAAAATGTAGCCAAGCATTTACCTGTATATTCAAGAAAATTCTGTAAGAAATTATTTATTTCAGAAATAAATTTCCCAAATAAAAACTGTTTATAAAAATTTTTGTAGCGCTATCAAGCTTATAAGCATCACTGGTCGGACATAAGGCTTCCTGTAATATTAGAAGTAACACCGTATTCCCTCGATCAGTTAGATCCAGCTACAAATAAAGTTTTAGCCAGTTATAATTTTAAAGATTTTGAGGGAATTTGTACAGTATCTGATTACCCAGGTAAATAGAAATGTTCACAAAACTTTTTTGAAAAATAACAAACAATAATGTGATATTTTTTTAGGAGGATTTGTTATTGTTTGTGGTGGTTTTGGTAGACTTCATTTGTTCCAAGCTGTGGATTTCGAAGATATTAAAATAAAGATTCTGGAATCAGCTACCGTTAATATAGGAATGAATATTAAAGTCTTGAGCACACCAATTAAACTAGAGGATTTTCAGTGTCAACGTTTCGGAAAGTTTAGGTAATTGTTACTGTAAATTGTAATTAAAAACTTGAGTACTATTATCCAATATGCTAACTTTTTTTTTAAGCGATGATGAGTTTGTTACATCCGTCTCTGAATTTGCGGTCTATAAAATTCACAAGGCGAGACACTCGGAACCCGTTAGAAGAACGTTATGCCTTTCTGAACACTGCCTCCTCGAAAGGGATCCACAGACTTACAGTATCTGTACTCTTCAGCCTTTGAACAATATTTTTGCTTTAATTCGTGATAACGATAACCCTCAACTTTTCAGTATTCAGTATTTCAGTGGGCAAGTTAGGACTTACACTACTACAGATAGGTAACTGCTTTCTATAATAATTATAATTATTACTTGCTATTGCTAGAAAGAAAAAAATATTTATTTTGAGCAAATTACGAGTTTTGTGATGTATTGCAGGGATTCATTGTTAGCCTCCTTACTAGATGGCGTTAGAGCAGCTGGCAATAAAGACGTACATGTCACTATGGTTCCTACAGAAAGGGGTCTCAGGTTGGGACCCCTCTACTTGCCAGTTGAAGAGGAAGCAGAAAGCTTACATTTGAAGCTTCTGTTGAACCCACCAGCCACAAAACCTTTCTCGCAGTGTGTAAGGAGGTTTAACGCTAACGTACCCTACAGTGGACTTTTATACAGCATTACACAAGAAGTAGGTACTTACATCAGTGATTCCTTCACAATAAACTATTTTCATGTTTCAGGGAATTTTTTCCGAAAATAAAGAGAAGCTTATAACTGGAGTGTTGCAGTCGTTAGTATCCAAAGAAGGTGATCAGAAAACTATAACCACAATGGAATTAGAAGCCCAGTTTCATGCTCTTAGACGATTAGCTGCTAGTAAAGTCGGTTATGCTTGTTTCACAAAACTACCCGGGTAAGAATATTCTTCCGTCTCCTAATTGTAGAAGTTACTTAGCATTTTGGTTTTAGTTTTAGGGAAGCAATAGGCCTTAAGGTCGTTTCAGCTTTGAAACGAAATGATTACGCCGTTACACAAGCAGCCATAGATATGATTTGTGCATTGATGCACCCCATGCACGACGACTATGATTTAAGACAGGAACAACTAAATAAATCATCGTTATTACAAACTAAACCATTTTTGGAGAGTTTGCTTAACATGTGGACAACCCATATAGTGAGTTTCTCTTTTCCGTTTTTATTTTTGAGGTAAAAGAATTTTTCTTTTAGGCACAAGGAACAGGTGCACTAATAGTTTCAGCCATGTTAGACTTTTTAACCTTTTCCCTTTGCGTACCTTACAGCGAGACAACTGATGGTAAACACTTCGATACACTTTTAGAAATGGTCTCGGATAGAGGCAGGATGCTCTTCAGATTATTTCAGGTAATGGACTAACGATTTATTAACTTTTCGATTAAAACATTTCGCAAATTTAGCATCCCTCGATGGCGATCGTAAAAGGCGCTGGTCTCGTCATGCGATCCATTATCGAAGAGGGAGAGACTGACGTAGCCGAGAAGATGCAGAATTTAGCTCTTGCGGAAGGTGCTCTGCCGAGACATCTGCTTGCTGCCTTATACACTCAAGGAACCGACGGGAGACTGCTTACTCACAGGCAGTTATCCAGGCATCTAATAGGGCTTTGGGTTACTGGAAATCCAACTGCGATGAACCTGCTTAAAAGAATAATGGTAAATGTCTTCCATTGTTAATTTAGTGACGAGTAATATGTAAATTCTTTTTTAGCCAACCGGACTTATAGCTTTTTTGGATTCGAGCGATGAGATTCCCAAAGAAGCCTTAGAGCAGGAAATGTTAAACCACAGAAATAACCTAAAACTAGCGCAAGAGCACGCCAATAAAGAAAAGAAGAATCCGAATTGGGCCGCGTTGGAAAGGCAGATCAAAATGGTGGAAAAGAGGGTGGAGCACTACACCAATTTGGCCATGCAGCATTGGGGTGCTAGGGTGGGGATTCAGTTAAAGAGGGAAGAGAAAATAAAGGAGCGGCCTATAGTATTAAGGAGGAGACGAGAGAGGAAAAAGGCTGAATCGAATTGGTCCCTGTTTTATTGGAACTTCAACCAGGATCATGCCCTTCCCAACTTAATATGGAACCATAAAGTAAGTAAATCAATACCAATAATTTAATCTTAAAAAAATTTGTAAGCACTCTCCAAAAATTGATCAAAAGCTCATTCCCTATACTCTACAACATGCTTTAAAAAAATATGTACAATGTTGTTTTAAGCATTGAGCAAATATTTTTTCATAAGCGAGTTTCTTATTTTTTAATACACTAATCCAAACAATTAAAGGGTCAAAAGAATTTCCAAAATTTTTCCATGAATTTTGACAGACTGTATTTAAGTGAAAAATGGTCATATCGGGAATTAAAAAAAAGCATTTTGAAGCTCTAAGATTCTAGTTTTTAGATCTTTCAGTCGAAAATTTTTAGGAGCTACGGTTATCGTGCAATTCTAAGAAACAGCGCGACAAAAAAATTATGCAAAATTTATTTTTTTTCTGAGTTCACGGACTTGGAAAATTTTTTTTTCAGCCAAGCCATTGCATGGACCAGATAGCTTGTTTATTCAGCTTTAATTTCCTTTTTTTAAAATTTTGATACGGCCATTATTCATCGAAATATCGGACTTTTAATAGAAAATAATCGTTTTGTCTTCAATCATCGATATCTCGGCGACAAATCGTCATTCAGAGAATTGAAGAGCAGTTTCGAAAACTGTAATAAATTTCCTATAACATGCTGCCGCAACTTTCTGAAAATTTTTTTTTTTTTCATCCACGAATTTAAAAAAACAGGAAAAAAGGGTAATTTATGGTTTTTTAGTAAATTGACAGCTAAAGACTTTTACAGTTCGATATACCCAGAAGAATCCTGTGAAGTTTCATTTCGATCTAGCAAACCGTTTCTTTGTTTCAAACAGTCAAACTTTTGAAAAAAATTAAAAGGTCACGTTTTTTAAGTTTAAACAGTTCATAATCATGGCTAAAATGGACAAAAAAACATTTTTTTGATGTTTTCTCACATTTTTACCGCAAATAATTTTTAAATTGAATTTTGAATTTTTTTTTTTTTGGAAAACCTTCCGGACATTGAAGAAAACAAAATCCAATTGTTTCCAGCACGATTTGGCTTTTCTGTCCTATGCTTCTGTTCATCAACTTTTAATTGAATTAAAATTAAAGTTGATGACCCAAACCAGAATTCGAACCCGTTTTTTGAGACAAATTTGTAATTAATTTTTATGCAGTTTGTAATCACTTAAAAGAGTTTTTTTCAAAACTACCCTTTTTCTTCTGAAAAAAATTTCGAAAACTAAAAAAAAATTTTCATCAATGTTTTCATCAAATGTTTGGGGTGAAAATGTGAGAATGTCAAAAAAACATTATTTTTTTCCATTTTAATCATGATTGTGAAGTGTTTAAGCTTAAAAATCGTGACCCTTTAATTTTTTTCAAAAGTTTGACTGTTTGAAATAAAGAGACGGTTCGTTAGATCGAGATGAAATTTCACAGGGTTCGTGAATATTTCTAATTTAGCCGTCAATTTTCTAAAAAAACATAAATTACTATTTTTTTCCTGTTTTTTTAATTCTCTCGTTTTTCTCTTGTTTCTCTTGTTTAGTTTATTGGTGCTAGGTATACATAAGTATTTACACAAGTCAAAAAAGAAAGAAAGGGGAAAAGTGAATAAACATAATAGTGAGGATAGTCCTATAGTAAGAGTAACAGTAAAATCTAACGTCTAAAGATACAAAATCAAAATGTAAAATACACATACAAATTAGGTACAATATAAACATTAACGTAATAATCAACGTAAAAATACAGTAAAGACTGACAATTGGAATTCGTGTAAAAGATGAAAAAAGAAAACAATTTTCCGAAAAGTTGCGGCAGTATGTTATAGGAAATTTATTACAGTTTTCGAAACTGCTCTTCAATTCTCTGTACGACCATTTGTCGCCGAGATATCGATGATTGAAGACAAAAGGATTCTTTTCTATTAAAAGCCCGATATTTCGATGAATAATGGTCGTATCGAAATTTTAAAAAAACGAAAATAAAGCTGAACAAACAAGCTATGCAATGGCTTAGCAGAAAAAATTTTTTCCAAGTCCGTGAACTCGGAAAAAAAAATAAAAAAATTTGCAAAATTTTTTTGTCGCGCTATTTCTTAGAATTGCATGATGACCGTAGCTCCTAAAAATTTTCGACCGAAAGATCTAAAAACTAGAATCCTAGAGCTTCAAAATCCTTTTTTTTAATTCTCGATACGACCATTTTTCACTTAAATACAGTCTGTCTAAAATCACAAAAAAAATTAGGAAATTCTTTTGACCCTTTAATTGTTTGCATCAGTGTATTATTAATGTATATCTGTAGACCCGGGAGGAACTAAGAAGTGCCTTAGACACTGAAGTGAGAAACTTCTCATCGGACAGAGAATTGGCGGGATCTGCTTTGGTCGCTTGGAACCACCAAGAATTCGAACTTAATTATGCTTGCCTTGCCGATGAAGTAAAGATTGGTGATTATTATTTAAGACTGTTACTAGAGTTGGACGTCAATAATGACGATTCGCCCATAAGAAGATCGTAAGTTTATTTTGATTTGAACGAACGTTTTACGACTTATGTTGTGAATGTTTCAGGTACGAGTTCTTCAACGATTTGTATCACAGGTTTCTGCTAACAAATAAAGTTGAAATGAAATGCATGTGTCTTCAAGCAATGTCAATTGTATATGGAAGGTATTACGAAGATATCGGTCCTTTTAGCGACACTAAATATATCGTAGGGATGTTGGAAAGGGTAAGGAAATTTTATAGAAAATTTTGTAGAAAATTTTGTTGATAAAACATTTACAATTTTTTAGTGTGTGGATAAACAAGAAAGGGATAGACTGGTGATGTTCATCAACAAACTCATCCTGCACCGTCGCAACGTCAGGGATGTACTAGATATGGGAGGTATTCAGATATTAGTGGATCTTATGACCCTTGCACATCTGCACACTTCGAGGGCTGTAATTCCGACGCAGACTAATGTCATCGAAGCTGGACCAGGAATGAAAATTGTCCAAGAGAAAGAATGGTACTACAATACTGACAAAGGTAGAGAAGGGCCCGTCAGTTTTAATGAGGTAAAGCAATTTTGATAATAATTTTTAATACAAAAGTGTTTGCGTAAATATCGTGTATGATAAATAATTTGAAAGGAAATATTGTACAAATATCAAAAATCAAAAAATATATACAGGGTGTAACAAAATGGATTTTATATTTAAATTTTGCAGAGAGGTAGGTTTCAGCTTGCTGAACAAAAGTCTCAATGACACCAAGATCAAAAAACTTCAACCAAGGCCACTATGCAGCTTGAAATATACCAAAAAAGGTTTTTCGTTGAAACTTGCTAAACACAGGTCAACATTTGATCGACAATGAAACACCCAAAGCGGTCCGGTCCTTATAGGGTTTTTGGGGTCTGATTACGATGAGTAGGCCAGTTAAGCTCCAATTTCAAGTTCATTTGAAGGTTACATATGCTACTAGACCCTACTCAGAAAACCAAATGGTTTTCAAAAATGTTCACAAATAAACGAGTTATTTGATGTCAAAAAATGGTCAATAACAAAAAACTTATCGTCCTCTCCCCTGACCATCTGTTTCTCCCCCTCCCTCCATCTATTTATTTTTTCCCCTTCCACCATTTCTCATCTTCCCTCATCTTTCTTCCCCTTCCTCCATCTCTCTCTCCCCCTCCATCTCTCTCCCTCTCCCCTCCATCTCTCTCTCTCCCCCCCTCCACATATATATGTCACCTCCATCTCTCCTCCCCCTCCATAGACCTCTCTCCCCCTCCATCTATCTCTCTCCCCCTCCATCTATCTCTCTCCCCCCCATCTATCTCTCCCCTCCATCTATCTATCTCTCCCCTCCATCTCTCCCATCCATTTCTCTCCCCCCTCCATCTTTCTCTTCCCCTTTCTTCATCTCTCTATTCCCCTCTTCCTTTCCTCTATCTCATTCCCTCTAATTCTGACCCCCCCTCCATCTCCCTTCAGCCATCTCTCTCTTCCCCTTGTTCCATCTTTCCTCATTTCCTTCATCTCCCCCCCCCCCCTCCTCTATTTCTCTCCCTCTAACTCTGCCCCTCCATCCATCTCTCCTTCTCTCAATTTTTCTCTAAAATGGTGTCCAGGACATTTTTACTTCCTCAGAAGACACAAGAAATCCCCCAAAAGTACCGAAATTGACCCACCTTGTAATATTCAGCAATTTAAATACATATAATTCTGTTTTTAGTTGAAGGAGTTGTTTGAAAAAGGACTAATAAATCACAAAACCCGATGTTGGGCTATGGCTTTACCGGGATGGCGTGCCTTATCACAACTACCTCAACTGAAATGGTGTCTGCTAGCTAAAGGCTCACCCGTCTTGAACGAAAGTGAACTCGCTACGTACATCCTAAACATCCTCATTCGGATGTGCAAGTACTTCCCTAGCAGAGACGTGGATAACGCTATTATAAGACCTCTACCAAAAGTAAAGAGACTTCTCTCGGAGCAGCCAGTGCTGTCACACGTAGTTCAGTTACTGTTAACCTTTGACCCCATCCTCGTAGAAAAAGTGGCGATTCTGTTGTGTGAGGTGATGAAAGACAATCCGGAAATGTCCAAGTTGTACACAACGGGGGTATTCTATTTCATTATGATGTACACCGGCAGCAACGTTTTGCCTATCGCTAGGTTTTTGCAGTTGACACATATGAAGCAAGCTTTCAAAACGGATGAGGTGAGAAGTAAACAACATATAAATAACGCGTTTTGAGCCTCTGTAATTATTTTTAGAATACCACATCTCAGATTATGCAGAGAAGTATTCTTGGAAGGCTTTTGCCAGAGGCTATGGTTAATTATTTAGAAAACCATGGGGCGGAAAAGTTTGCACAAATATATTTGGGTGAATTCGACACACCAGAAGCAATATGGAATTCTGAAATGAGGTAAAAATTTAATTATTAAATAATAGTACATAATTTTATCACAGGAGAAAGGGTTACATATTCATCTTCCTTTTTAGGCGAATGCTTATAGAGAAAGTTGCGGCACACATAGCTGACTTTACACCAAGGTTGCGCAGCCATACGATGGCTAGGTATCACTACATACCCATACCAGCTGTGCGGTATCCCCAACTCGAGCGCGAACTCTTCTGCAATATCTTCTATCTGCGTCATCTTTGTGATACTTCCAAATTTCCTGATTGGCCCATTCCTGATCCTGTAAGTATACCAAATCCAAACATTCATGCGGTGAGTTACAAACGTGCTTAATCCGTTTATTATTTTAGGTCAAACTATTACGGGATGTATTAGAAGCGTGGAGGTCGGAGGTTGAAAAGAAACCTTCCCTGATGACCGTCGAAGAAGCCTACAACAGTTTGGGGCTGGACGGAGGAACTCAGCACGATGAGTCGACCATCAGAAAGGCTTATTATAAACTTGCGCAGCAATACCATCCGGACAAAAATCCCGATGGGAGAGTGAGTATAATGAAATTTATTTTAGTGAATCTGTGGAGAAGAAAAGGTTTCTCACGCAAAACTTTTGGAAGAGAGAATAAATTCTGTTTAGGTTGATTTTATTTTTAATATCCACAGATGAAGTGAGACTCGTAAAGAAATATATCTGACGTAAATACATTAGACTGGGGCAAAAAAATCGACAATTTTTTTGAAAGATATATCGAGAATATCATTCAGAATAATGAAAAAATATATTGTGAGAGTTTGAGCCCTTAATATTAGTTTTAAGAGGTCTATCATCGCTAGTTTCGATTTTTTATTCCTGATCCCATTTCTGCGTCAAAACTGCCAAACCATCGAGGTAAAAAAATTTATCTACATATATTTTTTAAGGAAATTGAATGCCCTACAAGAAAGGTCTGATTGAAAATTTTCGGCAGACGAGCCATTTCCATGTGAAAAATTTACTTACGTTTTTTCTATTTGACTTTTTAGTTTTGGAATTTTGTAAATAACAAGCAAATTAATATCTGAAAAACGACAATACAGATTTTCAAAGGAAATTTAATGCTCTACAAAAAAGGTCACTTAACATTTTTGTATAAATTTACTCCTTCAAAAGTTATTCATGATTGAAGTTGAAGTAAAAATTAAATTTTTGTTTTATGATTATGAATTTTGGATATTTTTGGAGATTATATTGATAGATAGATTGTCGATGATGTATAATATCAATTTGTTCCATTGAGTGAAAAAAATTAGGTGCAAGACGAAAAAACAAAAATTTAATTTTTACTTCAACTTCAATCGTGAATAACTTTTGAGGGAGTAAATTTATGCAAAAACGTTAAGAGACCTTTTTTGTAGAGCATTAAATTTCCTAAATCTATATTGTTCCTTTTCAGATATTAATTTGTTCGTTATTTACAAAATTCCAAATTTAAAGTCAAATCAAAAAACCATATCAATTTTCAAGGCTTGATACATAGAAACAGCTCGTGTGCCGAAAATTTTCAATTAGACTTTTTTTGTAGGGCATTCAATTTTCTTCAAAAATATATGTAGATAATTTTTTTTACCTCGATGGTTTGGCAGTTTTGACGGAAAAATGGGATCAGGAATAAAAAATCGAAACTAGCGATGATAGACCTCTCAAAACTAATATTAAGGGCTCAAACTCTCACAATATTTTTTTTCGTCATTCTGAATGATATTCTCGATATATCTTTCAAAAAAAAAATTGCCGATTTTTTTGGTCCAGTCTAAAATACACATATTTATTTTTTTTCATATGGGAAGCTACATAAACAATTTTATTTCAGGAAATGTTTGAAACAGTTAATCAAGCTTACGAGTTTCTATGCAGCAGAAGTAGTTGGACCAGTGACGGGCCTAATCCACATAATATTGTTCTTGTATTACGAACCCAAAGTATTTTATTCCATAGGTATTCGGAAGGTATGATTTTTAAATTTTTACTAATCTGATTGAATCACAGAAGTAATAGTAATTAGTATTATAGTCGATAAGAGATTATCAATTTTTTTTACCAAATATCACCATATAAGATTATATTTCTAAACATATACAAGGTTAGTAAAAAGTAAGGAAATCCTCAAAAATCTCAGCGGAAAGTATTTTATAAAAGTCTCGTCATTTTTCATGAAGCATCCGATGGTAACCTTGACCTTGACGTCAAGGTTCAAGGTCATATCAAGATCAAGTCGGTTTTTTAAAATGCGACCCTCTTTTCGACCCTGGAAATGGAAAAATCGGAAAATTATGCATCCGAATATGACATTGACCGTGATATCAAGGTCAAATGTTGATATTTACTGTAATTCTTTATTTTTAACTAAGGAATCAGAGGGAGTGACAATCTTTGAGCAGATACCTGAATGGTACTCCTCAATAACCTTGATCTAGAGGTCAAGTTGAAAGGACATGTCAAGGTCATATCAGTTTTTGGAGTAGCGATCCCTTATTTCGATGCTAGAAATAAGAGCGTCGAATTCTACATGTTATTATGATCTTAAACGTGACCTTAAGGTCAATGGTCAAGGTCAGGTAGAGGTCAAGAGATTATTCCGGCTGTTATTTTTTATTTTCGACGATGGAATAGAAGGGACTTACAATTTTTTGGTGGCCACAAGATCAAGATCATTAAGGAGTACCATCAGGTATCTACTGCAAAACTGTCACTCCCTCTAATTGCGTAGTTAAAAATAGAAAATTACAGTAAAAATCTACATTTGACCTTGAATTGACCTTGACCATTGACCTTGAGGTCACAGTCAGTCATATTCGCATCTTTCCATTTCTGGAGTCGAAAAAGAGGGTCACCATTTAAAAATACCGACTTGATCTTGATATAACCTTGAACCTTGACCTTGACGGTTGAAGGTTACCATCGGATGCACCGTGAAAAATGCTGGCACCTTTGTCTTCACCATTTATCCCAAAAATGCTTTCCCACTGAGATTTTTGGAGGTTTTTATTATACTTTTGACTAACCCTATATAAGGATATACCTTGTTTTATATAGGGTGATTCAGAATATCCAAAAACAAATTTTTGAATGTGCAGGGAGCTCTTTACAAATACAATTTTGTAAAAAATAAAATCATAAAGGGCGTTTTGAAAATTATTGTAAAATACACTTATGCACTGCTCTGGAAACTGATCCACTGTAAAACCTGAACTTGCACAAGACAAAGCATGTAGTCGGTGATCGGCACGACAACCAGCACAGCTGTAAAGTGAAATAAATAATGAATGGACAAAAAATCGAAATAATTTCTTTCCTGAGAAATAAATAAAATTTTATAACACCTATTTTATAACACAAATTTAACTGTTTTTGCGGCTGTTGTTATTAATTAATAAAATTAATTTGTGGTTTTAATTAATAAAATAATTTGACATACCTGATGTTACAACAACTCTTCAACAAATTTTGTCCACGGACATGTAAACACATTTGGGCCTGTTGTACCCAGTTTCTACGAACAAATGGTTCACCATAGCACAAATGTTGTCTTACTTCACCATAACACAAATGTTGTCTTGCTTCACCAAAAATTAAAACCATCAACTCCGAGTTGCAATACACGTAAGCCATTTTTGACGCTTGAAAAAGTAATGTAAACACTATCGCAAAAACGTTAATACTAAAATCAGATATCAGTATTCGGAATCGCCTGGAGTCACCTGGAGTGAGAGCAAATTGCGTACACAGCACAACACGGATGACGTTAGAGGCTATAGTGGATGTAAGGGTTTTAAATAAAACAATTTCAATAATTCTTTTCACGGAAACTATAAGGATTTAAAAAAAATTTTTTTACAATATTGACCACTTTTCATGACGCATCTATTCCTACATTTTTTTGGATAAGTTTTGAATCACCCTGTATAGGATGTAATTTTGAATGGGGGTCATAATTATACGGACGTTATTTTTGATCTTCAGTTTGCTATAACCAGAAAATAATAATTAATGACTTAAGGCCTTTTTTTAATCATTTTTTGTTGCCATTCCTGTTCCCATTTTCTAGATTCTTGATTTGTCCTTTCAGTTTGTAGTAGAACAGATTACTGATAAATGGATTGTAGCGGGAATGAGAAGAGAACACCAACAGAAAAAATGTGTTGGTTTCCTTTGTCTAAAAGAAAACCAGAGATATTCTTGTTATCAGATTATCCAAAAAACAAAATTTTGTTCTCAAAATAAGTAAAAGAAAATATTTGAAAAAATTCTTGTATCCACAGTAAAAGTTCATTTCTAAATTAACTAATTAATTAATATTCTACCGCCTTCCAATTTCCAATACATTGAAAAACGCCCTCTGTATTACAGAACTGCAGCCTTATAAATATGCCGGATACCCACAACTTATAAAAACAATCAGAATCGAAACAGACGACGACCAATTATTCTCTAAGAACGCACCACTATTATCGGCTGCCTGCGAGTTAGCTTACCACACCGTTCATTGTTCTGCACTGAACGCAGAAGAACTGAGAAGAGAAAATGGACTAGAAGTAAGTTCAAATGGCGTCGTACTTCTCTAGTTAATTCACGCTGCCTTTTTCACTAGGTTTTACTTGAGGCCTACACAAGATGCGTGAATGTTCTGAATAACTCTTCCAAATCCACCGAAACGCCCGTGCAGGTTTGCATGCATGTGACGAGATGTTTTAGTGTCGCTGCACAGTTCTCGGGCTGCAGGGAACGGATGGTGGACCTGAAGCAACTTGTAAAGGACTTATGTCGGATACTTTACTTTAAAGTAAGTACAGAAAAACCTTTGTTTACTTACTACTTACGGAATAGCAGATACTTCTAAATAACGGACAATTTTGCTTTCACAGGATTTTGCATTGAGGTAAATAAATAGGAATTAACAATTTTATTTCAGCATTTAACAAAACTGTGCTCAGTTGCGACGGAGTGTGTCACGGCATTGTCTGTAGATTCGATCCTCCAACTAGAACTTCTAAAGGCTGGCGCCCTCTGGCATTTGCTTCTGTATATGTTCCAATATGACTACACCTTAGACGAAGGTGGTGTAGAGAGAACGGAGGAGGCGAATCAGCAGGAAATAAGCAATAGGTTGGCCAAGGAATCCGTGAAAGGATGTGCAGCTCTAGGGGGGTATATTTCTGGAGAAAATGCGCCTTCGTATAATAATTTAACCAGGGGCATCTTGGAGGTGTTACTGACACCTTATTTAGCGGATCAGCTGGGAAAAGATAATCCAGAGGAAGTAAGTGTTTTTTGAAATTAATACAATGGAAATTTCCTTAATTTTTTATTCTTTTGTATATTCACATATTCACATTTTACATTGCATTAAAAGTTACTAATACTATATCATATCCTTTTAGATATTAAAAGTATTGAACAGCAATAGTGAAACTCCTTATTTGGTGTGGGATAATAGTACTAGGGCTGAACTAATAGACTTCTTGGAAACGCAGAGAAGCGGTAGGGATGAAATCGACGTTAATGTGGCGAACGATTTTAAGTATTCAGCACACTCTGGAGAATTAAGGATAGGTGGTATATTCATCAGAATTTATAATCAGCAGCCGACGTACCCCATTCAAGTAAGTTTAAGATTTGTGCGATGCAACTATTGTTATTTTTACGATTACTCTTATAACTTTAATATTCACATAATTACGATTAATATAAAAATGGTAGAAATTTTCATCCCTAACTATTAGTATGTTCGGATATAAAAACTATGCAAAATAAAACAAACAATACTATAATTTTTTTAAAGCATACTTTCTTATTTTGTTTAATGCAATGAAAATTCATTTCAAGCATAATATACAATAAAACTTCTTGGTACAGTCTAGGCAAATTTTCATCTTCCTCAATTGCAGCTTGAATTTTCTTTAATATTACAAGTTCATTTTTAAAGTAAGATCTCTGAAGATTTCTACATACCTCATTTAAATGTCTTCAAAATTTAAAAAAATGTGTCACATGTTCTGTTTCATTTTAACATATGATTTATACTTCTCATAGACACTTTTGTTAAGAACTGCACATTTCCACGGCATCACTTACCGACATATCTGCATTGATCCGCCTCAGCTGAAAACTGAGAGTGCGGAATTTCGAGAAGTCAAACCATACAGCCTCAGTCGTTTTTCTATTTGTGCATGACAAGCAAAGGTAGAATAGAATGTTCCAAATGCATTCTCAAGCTGAAAGTGAGTGGCACAATATAATTTCCACATAGGGAATATACAAAATTATTTTATTTATTATTATTTTATTGTATTAAGAAATAGTAAATTTGCGGTTTGATTTATTATGGCTACTGTCTACTACTTTGACACTGGAGTACAGAATTTGCAGAATTTAAATATGATGCTACTTCGGGCGTATGTCGAATTTTATGGGCTTAAAATTAAGTAAAAAATACACAGATTAAAAGCCTAAATTTGTGTATATGTAGAGGTCGAGCGTCATATTGTTTATAATAAAAGAAAAAAGAATAATTGCTCTTTTTTCAGTTTTTTCGCTTATATCTCCGAAAATAAGCCTCTAATCGACATGAAGTATACTTATCGATTTTGTTCCTGAGGAAATTTGCTACAAGGATAGGCTTTTGCGAAAGCTCGCAAAATTTTTTTTACATTGCTAAATTAGCGGTGAAAAAAAAATGTACAAAATTCTCTGCATAAATAAAAATAACGAATTTGGCTGAAATTGGATGAAACTTCAGAAAAAACTGTTGGGCTGCTCAATAAATACCCGCAATCCGGACCCCCAATTTCAAATTGGCGGCCTATTACAAAATTATAATGTCGAAAACGTGAGCGCGTATGTCTTTTAATAAACTTTAATTTTTTTTTTTAGTTTTTTTGCCAATATCTTAGGAACCGTTTGAACTACAGGACTGAGCTTTTGTACACACATTACCACTACTTTTTCGCTACGGATTCCGGCCCCCCTTACTTTTACGCCACTGGAAAAATTAACATTTGACAGCAAATTCTAAAACGCCAATGAATTTTACCCAAAAAAAGTTATCTTAGTTCATTGCTCTAAAGTCAACCATTTTCAAGAAAAATGACTATGAACAAAAACAAACATTTTGCTAATGTTTCGAAAATCTTTTGTAATTCAAAAAATTGTTAGTAATAATTAACAATTTTAACGAAATTTAACATTACCATACCTTAAAATCTCCACTATTGGCACGTCCAATGAATTCAAAAAGGGTGCGAAAAAAGTTGCTATTAATAGTGGTAATATGTGTACAAAAGCTCAGTCTTGTAGTTCAAATGGTTCCTAAGATACTGGCAAAAAACTTAAAAAAAAAATTAAAGTTTTGACACCATGTATCTCGAAAACGAAAGCCCGTAGAGAAAAATGTAAGACGAAAACTATGTTTCTTTTTTCAAGAAGAATTTACAGTTTTCCGATGCGACACTTATTTAGGAACACCCTGTATACGTATATTAATATATTTACTGGTAACTCCTGATATGTAGATAAAAGTTTACATATGTTTTTCAAATTGGTGTATCCTGGATTTTTTCCAACACTTTGCATTTTTTCTTTTATCGTACTACTGATGGCATATATTAGTGTCATTGTATGTACATATTTTTTTGTACATCGTCCATTATATCAAATTATTCATTTAGAGAGATAGTTCATGTGATTCCAATTTACGGAATTATGGAACTTGAGGTTCTCTAGTTTGTTTCATGGAATATTGCTTGAAAGAAAGGTGTCTGTAAGTTCATAGAAAAATATAGAGTCTTCAAAGCTGGATGAGACATGGCTCTTCAAATGTCTTGTCACTTCAGTTTTGTCATAACAATTTATAATGCGTTCACACACAGTACAAAACAGGTAATTTCCTTTAATACGTATGTCCCTGTAACCTTCGAGATCACTGTCAAACATTTGAAATAATTCCCGTCTATTTCTTATCTCTATTGCCATTTTTTTCATTTTTCCCCCCAACTAATAGTTGTTAATGTAAATTATATAACTATTTATAAATAGTTATTTGAATACACATGGCGAATGTAATTTATATAAGTAATTTCTGTGAATTCTGTAAATAACTGAACAGTTCAAAATGTGAGTCACCTGTAGAGGCCCCCGTGCACGACTCTGCACGTGCACTAAGCCTAATTATAACCACTGAGTGTGATTAAGCAAAAAAAAAACTAATAAACCTCCAATTACGATTAAACAATCGTGACTGTTGTATAACTAACTTTTATTCTAAAATGTGTCCAATAATATTGCAGAATCCGAAGAATTTCACCATAGATCTGTTAAACTTCCTCAAAGAGCAATCCGAATACCTTCTAAACTTAGTGAACATAGCTTATTCCGTGACAATAGAAGATAGACTAAAAAATTCTGTGATGGCCTTAGACGCCCTAACCAATGTGATAAGGAATAATACAGGTGTCGAAATGCAGTGCATCGGACATTTCACACTTCTGTTCAGTTTGCTAAACGTTAGCCACATCCCCATACAAAAAGGAGCACTAAGTGTCATCTCGGTGGTGACGAGAAACAATGAATGTATCAATGACATAGCGGCCAGCGATGTGCTGGGTTATCTTTTACTGGTTTTGTACACCATCCAGGATTCCCAACCGCAGATATTAGATACCCTGTATGCGTTAATGGCTACCACGAAGATTGTTAAGGAAGCCCTGAATAAGGGCGCTGTTATATATCTATTGGATTTGTTCTGTAATTCGACCAGCCAAAATGTGAGGCAGACTTGTGCCGAGCTATTGGCACGTATGAGTTTGGATAAGTTGGTAGGGCCCAAAGTTAGGTTGGCCCTGGGCGTATTCCTTCCTCCGATATTCGCCGATGCTATGAGAGACAGTCCAGAGACTTCCGTTATGATGTTTGAGTCGGCTCACGAGCATCCCGAACTCATTTGGGATCAGGAGGCCAAGGACAGGGTCTGCACGGTTGTGGCTAGGTTAAGACGAGAGTGAGTCGTTAATTTTTAATTATTTTAAATATTATTAACCGCACAATTCATCACTATTGGCCGTTAAGTTTACTAAACTTAAATGAAATTTTTTTATAGAATTATCATTTGTTTATAAAATTGTTAAAACATAAATAAATTAAAAATTTTTTTATCAAACTAAAGAACAACTAGTTATATAATTTTTTATACGGGGTTCTTCACGGTAAGTAGTCTATTAAATGTTTCAGAGGGACCAAAGACAATATGACTCTGAAATTTTGTTTACGGGGGTTATTATTCTCTTCAATGAAAATAATGCCATCAACGTAGCACTTCCTGTTATATCGGAAGTAGCTGTCAACTTAGTTATTTTAAATAGAACACCCTATATATTATTGCATTATCGATAAGAGAAATTAAATATAAGACAAAAATGTTAAAGCTTCTCTGTACCTAAACCTAACCGTTTTCGAGAAATCGTCATTTTACAAAAAATTTGACCGCAGCAAGCATTTCGAAAATTCCTTATATCTTTCTTTGTTTGTAGGGGTTACAGTTTCAATTTTCTCAAAACGGTTAGATTTAGGTACAGGGAAGCTTTAACATTTCTGACTTATTTTTAATTTACCTTGTCGATAATGAAATAATATAAAGGGGGTTCCATTTAAAATAACAAAGTTGACAGCTACTTCCGGTATAACTGGAAGTACTACGTTGATGGCATTACTTTTATTGAAGAGAACATATCTGATAACCCCCGTAAACAAAATTTCAGTCATATTGTCTCTGGTTCCTCTGAAACGTCTAATAGGCCACTTACCGTGAAGAACCCTATATAAAATATATAAAAATATGAAGGGGTTGTATGTTACATTAAAAAAAAACTTACTTTTTTGCAAGATCTATTTAGTAAATGCAATATTTTATAAATTTCAATAATTTCTAATTAAATGAATTGGGAGATCATTTATCGGGACTTTACAAAAGTGGGTCTGATTATGTCCAGACCAGGCCTTATCTGGCTGGGTCACCTTATTAAGTAAGAGACTGTGTTTTAGGCATCAAGCAGCTCAAAGCTTAAATCCTGGTATTAATTGGAAAATGCCCGACACTAACGGCGTCACTACCATCGCGTCTCCCAATGAAATTGTTGTAGCCGGGGTATATCTTCGAATATTCATAGCAAATCCTGGATGGACCTTGAGGAAACCCAAGGAGTTCCTTTCGGAACTCATGGAGACTTGTCTCACCTTAATGACCAAAGAGAAGCCAAACGTAAGTAATCCTTTAACAGCCCCTTCCAATTTAATAAATGTTACATAAGTCGCCTTGGTTGCAATAGAACAGTGATTCTCAACTTATTGAATTTACGCCTCCTCTTAGACCATGTTTTAAAAAGGACGATAAGCAGTTTGTCAAAAACTTTTTATTGTTCAGAGCTGCACCAGAATACAATTGCAAATGTATACAACAATATTAACTAATTACAAGATTGTTTTTATGGTTACGATAATGTCTGTGAAGGTTAGTTTGAAAACTTGTATTTTTAGATCGATATGTTGGAGTTGAGCACGACTGCTTTGTGTGCCCTCCTCCAAGCGCAACCCGCTCTGTTGGATCTAATCCCTTCGATGGGACACATACCTCGACTGTGTAGACAGATGGGATCCAATGTTCGTCAAGTAGCAGTTCCTAAATCGGCAATTTGTATATTAAATTCTCTCTCTATGAGCAATGTAAGTGCTTAATTGGCACCATTCCAGTTTCACCAAAATATACACTTTTCAGATATGCGTGACAGCCATCGCTCAGACGGACTGCATGCACTCGCTGAAACAGGCCATGCAGGTTCGCAAGGATATGGTAGCTGTCGCCTGTGAAGCTTTAAATCGATTATTCTCGAATAATCAAGACCAGCTTGTCAAACAGGCGCTCGACGTTGATTTTGTGCAATTCCTACTGAATCTTCTAGAGGGTAGGTTGGAACTAATCGAGAACCCTGCCATGACTAAGGCGCAGATCGTGAAGGCTCTGAAGTCCATGACTCGTAGTCTCCTTTATGGCGACAAGGTGACTTCCATACTGGATAAAAGTACTGTGTGGTCGGAGTATAAGGATCAGAAGCACGACTTGTTTATATCTAGTACAAACATCTCAGGATACCTTACAGGTTAGTGATAATGAGACTGTTTATTATCGTCAGGGTTGCTACATGTATAGTTTTTCAGTTTTCCTGATTTTTCCCTGTTTTCCAGTGAAAAAAATGTGTTCTTTTCTCAATTTTTTACAGGCGATGAGAGAAATAGTGCTGCACTGTTTGCTTTTCAAATAATGGAAATCACTTTATTTAAAAAGAAAATAGACCACAATTGGCGCAAACTTGATGTATCGCATTACAAAGTTGAACTTAGTCCTCCTACAACACGTTTCTTACCATCAAAACAGTATTAAAAGAATTAGTGAAGTTAAACCTTAAATTGTCCTAAATTTATTAAAAAACAATATGATAAATATTAAAAGTTGGTCCTTTTTTAGATGTGGCTCAAAAAAAAATCAAGAAAATTACTGTATTTCCCTGGCATTTCCCTAGTTTCATTACAAAATTTCCCGACTTCCCAGTATTCTCAGCGTTTTATACCTGTAGCAGTCCTGACATTTGTTTATCTTACCGGCATGTTTCTTGAGGTATTAAAAATCTTACTTTAATAGCTGGGACACCTACCACTGCCGGGTATTTAACTCAGGGGCCCAGTGCCAAGGTAAATCTAGCACCACCTCCAGTGGATAAAGAAGATCCTCTAATGAGGTCCGATGGCCTTTGATTTACTATTCAACCATGATTATGGTTACATTTAAGTGTGATAAAAAAACTTGCGCACCAGACTTACTAAGTGATCGTTTAGTGAATGAACACATTCCTAAGTTCTTTCAAGCAATAGACTTTTATAATTACGGTGTGTCTTAATGTAAAGAATGTATAAAAAGGATGTATATTAATGTTAATTTAAGAATAAATAAGGATACTTTGTATGCTTTGTCATGGATATTCTTGATGCTTTATTTACAGATATATATTTTTTATCATAATTAGATTAATAATTATAATTAATTACTTTGTTTCCTAATACATTTTAGAGTTTGTACAATAAAATAAAGACTTTTTAAAATCATGCTTTTCAGTTGAAAATATACCCGATGTAATAGTTGAAAATGATTATGAATTTGAAGTTAAATATCTATAAGAAATATTTCGCTTAGTGATGGGAGATCTCAAATGAAAAATCGAGCGTTATTTCATTCTTAAAAGTTCTCATTGTTTTCGAATAACTTCTGAAAGTCCTTGAATAGTTTTAGTTCTTGCGTTGACTGAAATATTTTAATCAACGGTTCTTGATAGTTGCCAGACTAACTGGCAAATATCGTATGAAATGTGAGTTTTCGAGTGCAGAAAATATTCAAATGAATTTAATCGTCTAACCTTTCGTCCAACACTCGGTTCTCAGATAATCATTCGATTCTTATTCGAGGACCAAGTTCTCGAGTTCTGCCCATCACTATTTGAAATACATCTTTCCAAAAATTAATATTTTTCATACAATGAAGTGGAACACTAACTTGTGTCGATTGACCAATCACCTGCATTAAATAGTTCCAAAGTTTCATACCGCCATCTATCAGAACGTTTTACCAGTGAGCCAATTGTAAGAGCCTCATTCAATAGTGAATTAATTGAACGTTTAGTGTATAGATGGCGTCGCCTCCACACTTGGTCACTTTGGTTAATTCACTTTCAGTAGAGTTCTGAACAAGTTCGTCTTTTTTAAATAAGTGAACAAACCAAAATCAGTTCGCCCCTTTACTAGAGATGGGCTAAACTGTTCTTTTTGCGGAGCAGTGACACCTGCTACTGCTCCGGCAACAGAGCAGTGACAAATAGCTGCGATTTTTCGGAACAGCTCCTGGTAGCGCGCGCATACATTCCTACCGTGATATGTTCCCTTATTTTCGCGTCAAAGTTCATAAATCGACACTTGTCGTGCTTAATAGCGGCTAGCGTTAGGGAATAGGGATACTTTCATCATGCGCTGTTTTTCAAGCATGTGCCAACTTTCGTAGATTTAGCTCAATTTGTTATTTCGCTTTTGCATTATTTATTTGAATTTGATATAGCGTTATCTGTTATTTTGTCCTAAGTTACTACTGATAAACTTTTATTACAAATAAAATTGGACATGGATAAACGAAGAAAATCTTTCCTGTGGAATTTATTTTTACTAACGCATGAAAGTAAAGCTTGTTGTAATATATGCAAGCAAAATATTTGTTATAAATCTTCAATCACCAATTTAAAAAGACACATAGAACAACGACATCCTACAGTGAGTACAGTGCCACATATTCAAAATTTTTCCGCGAGTGCAACAAAAACAAATGAAGAACAGTCGCATGTTTTTTGCTTAGTCCAAGTTTTAAGTGATTTTGTAAACAAAAACTTTTAAAATATTTGTAGAGCAGCAACCAGCAATACACGCCTTGCTCTAGTCGCTGAAATACAATGTCTTTAAATCAAACGCGACTGTATTATATGTTTAGTGTGTGACACTGCGACTAATTCAAAATTCAAGCACAGTTCGCAACGGCTGAGCGAGAATCTGCTCTGCTGTGGCCGGCACGCCTGAGCTATGTCTCTGGCGCTAGTAAATTGCTCTTTGCAGTGAATGCTCCGAAAAATCACTGCTTCTTTTGTCGCAGCGGAACAGTCAGCTCCAGTGACAACTGCGGAACAGTGCCAAAGTAGCAGACAGTGAAAGAGCAACACATCTCTACCCTTTACCGATTTAACCTAACCTAATGTAGTGGTTAGTTAGTGCACAAGATAATCGAACAAAACATAACCTACAAATAATAATAATCATAAATCTAAATAATAAAAATAAGCCGTTGATAATGATATGGATTCATCCGAAGATATATTGATTGTAAGTATGTTGGCAGTATGATTGACAACAACAACCTATAATTGAACTGAAATTGAACAGACGTCAAAATTTAAAATGGAGCAGTTGTGTGTTTTGACTGTTTTGTTTAACGGTTAAACCCAAGGATTTTATACTTGTATAAAATCCTTGGGTTAAACCTAAAGTTAGTTCAAATCATGGTCACTTCTAATTTGGTCAATTTGACTAAACTGAACTAACCAAGTGGTATTGAAACACATTAGTTGTATTCTTTTCTGTTTCAGATTAGTTATTCTCAGTTTTAAGGTGGTTTTAAGCAAATACTTTAGTAAAATTAAGTAAGTAGCTTAGTTATTCTCAGTTGAAATTGGTTAAAAGAATACAACTATTGAAACGTGACAACTGCACTGAACCGACAGAAAAGAGAAGGCTTTTTGGAACTTTCGGCTTTCCATTCCATTGTTTTCATTTTCCAATTTTTAGATGTTCTATGGAGAGCTGGAGATGGTCTGTTTTAATTTTTTTTTCAAGTATAGATTTTAAGTTTTATGAAAATATTTAAGATTTGTTTACATAGATAAAATGGCCAATTTACAAGGTGGGAAAGTTGATATTTCCTTGATACAAACATCAGCTAGGAACAATTTAATTAATTTATTGGAAAAATGTCCCGGGAAAAAGGCAATTGTCTGGGATAATAATTTGGCCGGTCCAGTAGGATTGGTAGCCCAATATACAATTTTAAGGGAGCATATGGTAATGAAGATGTACCCCTTACGACCCACCTCTTTGCCTGAAACGGATGTTGATCATGTCATATTTATATCTCGACCTAAGCTACATTTGATGGATTATATAGGTAGGTAGTCATATACACTAGTTATATGTGAATATTAATGTAATCAATTTTGTAGCTCAAAATGTACGTATGGATATTAAAACTAAAAGTGGTTCTAAAAAGCAGTATCACCTTTTCTTTGTTCCAAAAAAAAGTTTGTTATGTATGGAGCGACTTAAACATAACGGGGTCTTTGGAAGTGTCTTTCTGATAGAAGAATTTAAATGCCAGCTTTACCCATTTGATTCTGATGTCATGTCGATGGAAATTTCAGAAGTATTTAGGTATTTATCTAATTCAGCAAAAATTGTCACGAGTTTTAATACAAAAAATAAATAATTTTAGGGAGTATACTATAGAGAATGATCCAACGTACTTGTACCAAACGGCCCAAGCCATAATATACATTCAGAAATTATATGGACCTATTCCAAGAGTTTGGGGCAAAGGTACTGCCGCAAAACAAATATGGGATCTTGTTGTGAGATTACAAAGAGAAAAGAATAATATGGAGGAGCCTAAATCTAACCAACAGTCTTGTATAGATCAGATAATACTTATTGATAGATCTGTAGATTTAATTACTCCATTGGCTACTCAGCTTACTTATGAGGGTTTGTACTGTATAGAGTTGTTTTAAAATATTTAATATAATTTAATTTGTATAGGGTTAATAGATGAAATATTTGGAATTAACTGTTCAACTGCAAGCTTCCCAATAGACAATTTCTTAACTAGTGAAGAAAGAACCTCAGAATCTCTTTCCGAAGATAAAAAACAGGTCATTTTAAATTTTGCAGACAAATTGTTTGCCGACATTAGGGACAAAAATTTTAATGCGGTTAGTTTCTTTTAAGGAATATTGTACAAATTGCAATATTTAATATTTTTTAGGTTGGAGCATATCTGTCTAAACAAGCAAAAGCCATTAGTGCACAATTGGAAAATACCCAGGAGAAATCCGTTCAAGAAATGAAATTGTATGTTCAAAGACTGCCTCAAATCTTGGCAAAGAAAAAGCAGCTCGCTACTCACACTGCTATCGCAGAATGCATTAAAGAAGTGACTGATAGTTATGATTTTCTTGATACACTCCAAGTAAGTGAATTAATTTAACATTAGAGCCAAGATTGCCTCCATATACAGATTTATCGCATTAGAAAAGCGCACATTAATGTATTGTATACTTCATTCCATATATTTTTTTCTTAAGATTTTTGTCATGGTATTTATTCTCTGTAAGAGGTATCATATAATACAATTTGCACCTCTGATATGATGATTGTGTATAAACAATATACAGGGTGGTCCCGAGGTAATGGGCCAAAATTCATCGGTAGATTCCCCAAGTAAAAATATTGCGATTTAGCCGAACTTACCTTTGTCCAAAAGTTGATATTTGAGATACAGGGTGTTAAATGTAAAATATTATTTCAGTTTTCTTTAATTTATTCCTTAACAAATGCAAATATCCTCACAAAATTTTGAGGATTGGAGTTCTTTGAGTAGAGGAATTGAAATCTGTTCACATTTTGGTTAAAGTTCATAGAGGGCGCTAGCTGCAGTAGATTGAATGTGTTAAAAATGACATAACTTTTTTGTACTTTAAGGTATTTCATCTTTGGTAACAAATTCTTATTTTTCAACTTTTTTTACACAAAAAAGGTATACTTTATGAAAGTAGCTATCTTGCACCGTTTTCGAGATATTTGGCTTTGAAACTTCCAATGTTGTTGTATTAAATTACAATTAAGTAGGTACCTACAGGTATTATTAATTTAGCAGTAAAGTTTCTTAAGTAGGATTTGGACGAAAATCAAATAATTGACATCTTCCACTTGTCTTATTGCTGTCATTTGTATGCTAATTTCTATTAAGTATTATTCATATCTAATTAAAATTACAAGTTAGCTTACACATTAAATTGTATACTCGTATACATAAATGTGAAATAGAATGCTTCGTTTTTGGAGTTACGTGAAATCAGTTGTTTATGGAGAAACCATAAACACTTGAGAAGAACTTTAGTAGCAGGTTTTATATGCTGCAAAGTCATTTCGCATTAAGGATTTATACTTTAAAATAAGACAATCTTTTATTAAACGTGTTGATAAATGTATTGAAGTTAGAGGTGGACATTTTGAGCAATTATTGTCAAAAAGGCATATTTTTTAGTAATGTTTACTATTTTACTGTTCATTACAATTTTTAATTCTAAATAAATCCTTGTTTTTGATATTTCTAAATTATTTTAATTATTTCAACTATTAGCATTGGAAGTTTCAAAGTCAAATATCTCGAAATTGTGCGAGACAGCTACTTTCATAAAGTTCATCTTTTTTGTGTAAAAAAAGTTGGAAAATAAGAATTTGATACCAAAGATCACATACCTTAAAGTACAAAAAAGTTATGTCGTTTCCAACACCTTCAATCTACGGCAGCCGGTGCCCTCTATGAACTATAACCAAAATGTTAACAAATTTCAATTCCTCTATCCAAAGAACCCCAAACCCCAAAATTTTATGTAGATATTTGCATTTATTAAGAAATAAATCCAAATAAACTAAAATAATATTTTACATTTAACACCCTGTATCTCTTTAACTATCAACTTTTGTACTAAGGTAAGTTTGGTTAAATCGCAATATTTTTGCTTCGGGAATCTACCCATGAATTTTGGCCCATTACCTCGGGACCACCCTGTATAATACATGCTCTATTCTCTCAATTGAAAGTAAACGAATGAAAGAAGGCATGTTCATTTATGTCAGGTTTATTTTCGCTTAAAATATAGTCAGCTGTCTATCTCTGATAATTCTGGATAATTAATTGCGATATTAATCGAGGACGAGGTATGCTTCAGTATAGTAGGTGTCTTCATATCTTTTAGCAGTAATCAACCTAGACCTCCAAATTCTTTTGTCTGCGAGTGGTAACTATTTCATGGTCCGAGAGACCAGTATTTGCAGGCCATACCTCTTTCTTGGTTCTCTTAAAACTAACATAGGTTTTACTTGAATAGTTTGACATTGGCAGTTGTTTAATTGTGTTGTGTGCCATATCTCTTTCTTCTCGCCGAGAGCTGTGTAAAACATTAAATATGTATGAAATATGAACAGCGAAATAATGAATTTTTTGTTGTTAAGTGAAAATTGTTTCTGTTTTGAGTGTACTGAGAGAGACCGATGCTCCTCAAATAATAATGTCTCTTTGATTGAGCGATCAAAGTAAAAGTAAAAGTGGCAATACTGCAGTAGGTCTAAACATCAGTGCGTAGAATGATTGTTGTCCAATAATACGGTAAATATTTCCATAATTACTTTGCGACTGAGTCCAAAAAAGTATATATTTATTTCACAAAATATTCATCTGAAAATGTACATACCTATATCGTTGGAAAATTTGTAGAATTTAAGCACATAAGCTGCATCTTAGACGAAGACTAAAATGCTTTTAGGAATTGTCAATTTAGTTCACTTTAAGAAATCTGTGCCTCCTTACCACTGCCAAAGAAAAATTTGTTAAATTTTAGGCAGAACAAGAATTTTTAAACTGCATAGAAGTTGACAAACCAAGTCTGTACATTGAAGAAATGATAGCTCAAAATAAGCCATTGATCAAGGTGTTGAGACTGATGTGTCTACAATGCATTGCTAGTTCTGGTTTGAAACCAAAAGTGTTGGAAAGTTATAAACGAGAATTAGTCCAGGTATTATTTGTGTACATACTTATTAGGAATTTGTTCATCTTATTTTTTTCGTTAAGGTTTATGGTTTAGAAGTCCTATTAGCCATCACCAAGTTAGAAAAAGTTGGTTTGCTAAAGCTCCAGTCAAGTGCAAGACAGTACACTGTACTTAGAAAAGCCTTAAGGTTAACTATGGAAGACACATCAGAAGTTAATCCAACTGATATCAGTTATGTGCACAGTATATATGCACCACTTAGTATCAGATTGGCGGAACAAGTGACAAAGAACGGTGGATTGAAGCAGCTTCAAGACGTTCTTGGGCTCTTACCAGGTAGGTACTAATCTTGTAATGTCTAAATGTAATTATTTTTAGAAATTGATAAGTGGCAAAAAATCATTTATCATGTTTTGATTATCGTTTAATGTCAGATTTTTTTTTTCAATTTGCTTTAGGGCCTACATTAGATGAATCTCCTTCGGTATCTACAAACCTAATAAATAATACCGATAGTCCAACAGTGGTACTTGTGTTTTTCATTGGTGGTTGCACATTTGCAGAGGTATATTCCGTTGACATCAGTTTATTTTGTCATTTTTTTTTTTTGTAATTTCGTTTCCAGATTTCTGCTCTAAGGTTTTTATCACAACAGGAAGATTCTAATGTGGAGTTTGTAATAGCTACGACAAAAATAATTAATGGGACAACTTTTTTGAAATCTATTATTGAGAATTGAAATTATGTAATATATATTATTATTATTATTTTTTACTGTGATACATTCATTTTATCATTTATATAATATACACGTATAAATATAGACTTTTATTAATTATATCATTTTCCAAATACTGAGCAATTATAGAAACGTCATTGTGCTTTATAATTTTCAAAATTGGAAAACATATACAGGTTTGGTTGAACTAAACGTGAAGGTGGTAGAAATGTATACGCCCAGTTGAAGAATGCGAGTGCAGGTAAACGAAATCTAACACAACTACACTGGGCTACCGGGTAATAAATCTCAGTTTTTGACAAGTGGTTGACAAATTGCCCAGCAGTGCAGTGCAGCAATGTGGAATTTGGTGTGATTTAGGTAATTTAAATTTTTTATAGGCACCTTCTGTTAATCATTTATATTACAATTGCAAAAGGAAGAAATAATATTTTTACAACGTTGTATTTTGGAAACCTTTTGAAACGGAATAAAACGAAATTTACCACCAATATAATAGAAATTTTGTATACATTATATATAAATTATTATAATTTTTTACCTTTTTTAGGGACGCCTATGAAAGTCATTAAATTTTATTGCCAGGCGTTTTTTTGCATGTTCAACTGACTTCGGAAAGACTATACCTTTCTACATAGGTACCTAATTCTTTTTTATTTAAAATTATTTTAAAAATTTAATGAAAAGCACAAGTTATATTTAAAAATCGATTTTCAGCTCTTAATATACACTAATAATTCTACACGTTCGACTCGTTCAGCAAATAGGACGATTGGACGATAGTTTGGGAACTTGCTCTCGCTGCTTCTCTCTCTCTTCCTCCCTCCCTCTCTCCCTCCCTCCCTCTCTCCCTCCCTCCCTCTCTCCCTCTCTCACTCTCTCCCCTACTCTATCTCCCTCCCCCTCTATCTCTGGCCTCTCTCTCTCTTTCTCCCTCCCACCCTCCATCCCCCTCTCGACCCCTCCATCAGGAACTGTTAAGGACCCCACAGACTTCGTTCCATTCGTGCGAATAGGACTGTACGGATCAAATCGCGCGAACCAAGAAAGGCAAGGTATCTAACCGAAACAGATTTTGCACGACGGTGAAACTGTACCGCTTTTTTCTCCACACACTCACCGCGCCATTATTCCATTGCTAGAAATTGACCTCAATGATTTAGGATTGAGGGGGATTATCCCTCTTTATCCTGCCTCATCTCGTGTAGGCCTGGACAGCCTTCGTAGGTGGGCCCCTTCCGTCGTCTACCTCGACCGCAAATGCGGCCGGTGTAGGTGCTTTCAGTTCCTAGCGGGCAGCCGGCCAGAGCACACGTGTTTTGTGATAGTGTAGTGCAAGGAGCAAATTCTACCTGCCTTTATTAAGGCTACCTGGAAAGAATCCCTTTCTTTCCTTTTAATCACCGACCTAATCCCCGGCTTAAGCATAGACGCCGTCGGCATCTTTGTTACAGCACCTGTGCCGGGGTTATGCCCAGGTAAGTTTTTACTTATTTATCAGTTATTTGCATTACTTTAGAATACATTTCTTTAAAATTGCGACCCCCGACAAACAATATACCAGACAGACAAATACACCAAAAGACACGTACGCCCCCGTGAGGGGGCATCCCCACACGACTAACACTTACACACCTTCCC